GTCCCCCCCAGAGGGAGCTGCACCCCTGGGGCTGGCAGAGCAGAGCCCAGGGCTGCAGCCCCTTCCCCACCTCCCAGCTCTGGTGAGAGAGGCAGGGGCTGGGCAGGGGCATGGGGGGCTCTGGGCTGGGAGGAGGCGGGGGCCCTGCCCTGCTGCCCAGGCTGCTCTCGTGGCCTTGCTGACGGGTCGCAGCCCCTGGCCACGGGGGTCCCAGCTGCCTGGCGGGACCGGCAGCGTGGGTCAGGCGCTCACGGGCTGCCCGGCCCCAGGTGACGCGGCGCTTCGGCGTGGCGGGGCTGAAGCAGGCCATGGAGTGGTTCGGCTACCACGGGGGGCCCTGCCGGGCACCGCTGCTGCAGCTCAGCGAGGACCAGGCTGCTGCGCTGCGCCGGGCCTTCACCCGCAACGGCTGGCTCTGACCCCCTGCGCGGCGCTGCCTCCCGCATGCACTCCAACCCCCAGCACCCCCGGCTGCCCGCTGCCCCCTACCCCTGCGAGGGCAGCCGCGGCCTGGGAGCTCAGCACCACCCCAGCTTGGCCCAGGTGCGAGGCGGTGGGTTCCTGTGGCCACGCAGGGCCGAGCTGGGAATAAACTCGTTGCACCTGCATTGCATTCTCCTCCTTCCTGACTGGGGGGGAGCGCTCGGGGCAGGCCGGGGCTGCTGTGCCCCTCCAGCAGGGCAGCGCGTGGCTCCGCGCCCAGCCCAGGGCTCCAGGACCCTGCACCCCTCCAAGGCTGCCCAGAGCCCCCCTGCCGCTCTCAGCTGTACCTAGGGATGAGCGCGGGTACGTGGGGGGCTCCGGACACAGACACGCAGGCGGTGGCTTGGCAAGGCGGTTTTACTCCCGGCCGAGCGGGCGCAAGGCACGGAGCGGCGTTGCGGACATTCAGCGCGGCCGGGCAGGCCCACCCCCCCATCGCCCAGGCCCCTCGCTCCGGGCCCACCGTCCCCACTGCTGGGCTCCACCTGCCTGGGCAGAAGGGCCTTGTCCTGCCAGGCTCTGCCCCGGTGCGATGAGGGGGTTTGGCACTGCTGTAGGGGGACGGGGCTTGGCCCTGGGGCATCTCTGCAGCACCATCCTGCCCCTGTCGGGGTCAGGTACCCTGGGGGTCAAGGCCAGGCCTGAGGCGGGGTGGGGAGCGTGACCTGTCGGAGACCCAGCCCCTGCCCGTGCCCCACCCCCATCCCCTGCGCAGCTCCCATCACTCCCAGCCTGGGGGGCAACTCCGCACGGCCCCCCACACCCTGGCTGGGGGCTGCCCCTGGGGAAGAGCCCGAGTCCCTGCCTGGGCCCTGGCACTGTGGCATCTGCAAGGCACCGCGTGGCCCTGCGGGAAGGACGAGCTGACCTGGGGGGTGAGCAGAGCCCGGGGGCAGTTGGGGGGACCTCCCCGGGGAGCCCTGGAGCCGGGCTGGGGGTGCCCGGCTGCTCGAGGAGGGGCTGGGGCTGGGGCGGTCACACCATGAGGCCGTGTGTGGACTTGGAGACGCTCTGGGCGCGCTGGATCACGGCTGGGCACTTCTCGCGCCGCAGCAGCTTGTTGTTCTCAAAGAAGCCCTCGTTGCGGGGGACCCCGTGGGAGCCGTCGGGGAACGTCAGGAGCCCTGGGGAGGGAAGGGTGGGTGTCACGGGGCGGGGAGGGCACACGAGGGAGGCACATGGGGGCAGGGGAGAGCATGCACAAGGGGTGGCATGGGGCACACAGCTGGCGCGGGGCAGGGCAGCTGGAGAGAGGTGGGGGCACCACAGCAGGGCTGGGGGTCTGGGCCTGGGGTGGGGGGAGCACGGTTTGGGGACCAGGGAGGCAGGGGCTGGGCCTAGGGGCAAATGGTGGGGCCTGGGGTCAAGGGCAGGGGTTGGGACCTGGGCAGGGCGGC